TCCTGCCCAATACCAGCCAGATCTTAAACATAAACATTGCTGAAAGCTACTTAATGAACACAGTATAAAAAATGGTCACAATGGTGAAATTTTAATGTTATTCATCAGTTTGTTATATCCAGACACAACATAAATGTGGTACGATCATCTGAAGCTGAGAGGTACGGTTCTGGAGCTGCCCTTCCTGCTGCTGGGAATCAATACTCAGTGAAAAGGGAAAAAAACACTTCAGAGTTTTTCTAGGGCAACTTGACAGCAGAATTCTCGGTTATTTCACACCTTCTGAGAAAGAATTTGACCTTCTCGGCTCCCTGTACACACTCTGGCTCTAGTACCCCAACGACAGCAGATACAGGAAATCATTCGCTGCTGAATGGAAATTGATTTTTTTTTCCATGGAGACTTTAAAGAGTGGAGTACCATGACCCTGAGAGGTGAAGGGGCCTAATTGAATCCAACCTGAATCCTGGTTATTCTGCTCTCAGAATAGTCATAGCTCTGCCTATTAAGTGTTATATCTCTTTCAGTGGTGTTAGAGGAGGGAGTATAGCTGCAGTTTTTACTCTTGTGTCCTTCTCTTTGTCTTCTCTTCGTCTGTTTTTGCTTGCCAATCTTAGATTTACTCTTCTCAAAATAAATGGCTGAATGCTAGACTCATTCTAGCTCTGGAAAAATGTGCCAGAAAAATAAATCAAACTGTTTTTGATATGGCTGAATGTGTGCAACAGCTAAAAGGTTTATTATTTAGAAAAAATACAGTACCATTGAGAGGCTGACTACATGGATAAATGGACATAAAGACTGTAGCATACATGAACAATTATGTACAATATTGATTCAGCTAGTCAACACGACTTCTAGATCGATCTTCAATGCCAAATAACAAGACTCTGTGCACTGGTTCCAACCTTCATGGGGGCTGATGTTTGTCATGGGGCACTGGGCTGCTGTAGCAAGAATCGATAACGGAGGTGGTCTGGGTTTTTTTTTCAATATTTCCAGATCATTAAGAGTTCATCTAATGTAAAAATAATGCTGCATTATTTGGTGGTCTAGTGTGAAATATTTTGGGAGAGGTGTATCTCAAGGCACACACATCACTGACTGAATAATGCTCCCACAACAGGATCACTGTACTGTACGGAGAAATTGAAATATCCCTTTAACAACGACAAGTATGATTCTCAAGACGTCATCAGTGACACAGAGGGCTCCTATGGTAACCTGAAGTATGGATGTTGTGTAAAATATGAATACAAACAAAGTACAATGATATACAATGAGAAAATTGAGGACTGCTCTAAAAGCACATGAATGGTTCATTCCACAGGTGAACAGGCTCATTGGGAACAGGTGAAGGTCATGGTTGGGTATAAAAGGAGCATCCCTGAAAGGCTCAGTCCTTCACAAGCAATGATTGTGTTTACTAGATGTCACCAATGTCTGCGTGGGCAAACAGTCCAACAGTCTGAGATTGTTTCTCAAAGTACAATTGCTGAAATTGAGGGACTTCATCATCTACAGTCCATCAAATCATCAAAAGATTCAGAGAACCTGCAGGAATCCCTACATATGAGCAGCGAGGCCCAAAGCCAACACTGAATGTCAGTGACCTTGGACCTCTCAGGCAGCAGCGCATTAAAAACTCACATCATTCTGTCAAGGATTTTACCGCTTGGGCTCCGGAACACTTCAGAAAACCATTATATGTTAACACGGTTTTCACTACATCTATACTTTCGTGCTGTTGGCTTCTGATTGTTGGTAATCTCCAAAATCTATCCCCACTAGGGGGACAAAAAGTGAGCGACTGTGGCTAAACCCTGAACCCGACACCCCAGAGAATCTGCACCCTGAGCTTGTGTAAAGTAGATTGTAGATGAGATATCTGTTTCAAAGAAGACCTGACAGCCCAGGGTCAACAGAGAATGATCTACTAGGACAGCAGCCTTCCGTAATCTTTGGCAATAACTCCTCCAGGTAAAGACAACCAGCCCTGACAGACCTCTTCATACAGTTGCTACTGATAAACAGACAGCAGGAAGTAAAATATGTCGCACAGAAAGATGAGTTAGATGACCTGTCACAACCTCTAAATTTTACCTGCCAGAACATTTCCAAGCTAAGAACAGTTGTGAAGTAACTAGCAAAGACTTTAAAGGGATATTCCGGCGCAAAATTAATCTAAGGTCAAACACACCATAGCACCAAGTTAGACACCCCCTCAAGAGATGAATGTTGCTGACCGCTTGCTTCTCTTGTTATACCAACTTTAGTAACGACTGCACAATAGCAATACACAGCAGTCTGAGGAGCCATAAACAATCCTCAACCAAAATGTCACTCCATAGCCACAAATAATGCAAATAATGCTCAGAACAGCACCGGCAACAATTTCACGCCAGAGTATCCCTTTAATGCTGAAGCTATTTAGTTTTGAGAGGTTTTAGTAGTCAGATTCTGACACTTGCTTTGAACAGAAACAGGCTGACTAAAGGCTGACTACAGACTAATTGACAGGGGTAAAAACTTCAAGATTTGGCAAAAAAAAATAGACAAACTTATCACCTATGGGAATGCATTAGTTTAACAAGTTATCGTCCGATAAAGGGAATATTTCATTACCTTTTTATTGTTACATGCAGAGACGAACAGGCGTAGCTGCAAAAAGCTGATTAAAGAGTAAAAACGGTGTCAAATGTGTGGGTGTTTTTGACTGTTTCAAGGAGGATATCATGATTGCAATGGGAAAAACATGTGCAGCAAGTGTTCCAGGTGGAGGAGAGAAATTAACACAGTGAATTATCAGGTCACATGCAGAGCTATTGTTGCCATAAGGAAGTACTGCAGAAATGTCCTTGCAGCAGTCACAGTTAAGAGTATTGCCGGACCTTAAAGTCATGTCGTGTAGTGTTATCAGAGCGGGAATGTAGGCCTGTTCCATAGAGGTATAGCTGTTTCGAATGGACTCCTATCTTCAGAAGACTGTACTGATGGTGAGGAGTGGATATCAGCGCTGATAACACCAGGAAGAACTGCTGCTCCACTCTGCTAAGTGTGAGGACTGGAGCTGCCATTTTTGACCTGCTGTTAGTACTAAAATAGGCAATGAAAAAACATACACCAACTAAATCTGTCGCCTGTACTGCTCTCCCTTCAAAGAAATTATACATGATTATTGAGCATTACCTTTATTGTATATGTATGTCCTTGTTTATAATGATAATGTATTTGTTGTTATATACAGTTGCCCGGTCTTTATGTGCTTTGTAGAAGCACTAAAATCTCTCCTTTCATGTTTTACTTTCTCAGGATGGTGCCCTAGATTTTTTTTCTTATCTGTTGCTGCTCTTGTCTTTTAATTAAAACAAACTGCGCTGCTATTTTTGGAAACATTGTCATTCCTTGTTTCTGTTATCTTTTTGAGTTTATCACATAAATCATGCTGGATTTTCAAAGTAACACTGTTTCCTCACTGAAAACATTAAAAAATATCTGAGTTAGGGTAGTGATATAGTCAAAAATAAACAACAACTATGTAATAAAATCTTTTTTGTTTATTTGACAAAATCTATAACCATAAACTTTGATGAGCAAGGTTTAAAATGTTATAACATATTTACAGGTTTAATCCTTTAAAAGTGAAACTTACTTCAATTAAGCGAGGGAAAAACAGTCAGATTTTGTGGAGACTGCACCGTTTTCTGGAGAAACATTTGGACCTGAGACTGTTCAATTTTACCAGATTAAAGCTCCCTTCACTATATTTCAGTAGGTAATACTAATACAATTTTATGACCTTCAATTGCAAGTGATACCATCATAAATATGATTTATGTAAAGAGACTAAACACAACTCACTCACTCTCCTCCAGCAGCCGCTTGTTTGCAGTGAGACCTCGACAAGTCCATCATCAACTGCAGCGGGGTGACGCAGCTCAAGGAAGAACATTTATGATCATTTCTTCATGGAAATACAATCAGACTGAGACGGTAAGTCAGAACTAGCATCGAGTTAGATAGATAGATAGATAGATAGATAAATAGATAGATAGATAGATAGATAGATAGATAGATAGATTAGATTAAACTTTATTGATCCCAAACTGGAAATTCACAAAGGGAAATTCACATGCTGTGAACACAATGTTCTTCCTTGAGCTGCGTCACCCCGCTCTAGTCTGTAATGGACTGGCCTGAGGTCTCGCTACAAACAAGCTGTTGCTGGAAGCGAGTAGGTGAGTTGTGTTTAGTCTCTTGGCTAAAGAAATCAGGCAATGTTAAAAAGATGTTTGTTTGGTAGTGCTGTGGCTTGGACCTTATATGTACTGTTGATGAAGTTAGGTGCTGTTCTGAGCATTATTTGTGGTTATAGAGTGGCGTTTTGGTTGAGGTTTGTTTAAGGGTCCTCAGACCGCAACATTCATCTCTCAAGGGGGTGTCTAACTTGGTGTTAAGGTGAGTTTGACCCTAAATGAATTTTACGCCGGAATATCCCTTTAAGCAAAGGATATAAGACAAAGGGGTCACCACACAAAAACACAAACTAAAACTCCCTACAGTAGCTTTTATTACAAATGAATATAGCACTATTCAAAATGCCTTAGAGCAAGACTTATAAAAACATGTTTACAAGCAACATCACAATGAGTGTACTGATCTGTGAACAAGCTAACTCAGACTCTCTATAATAGTGTAAAATGAATCCAACTGTTTCTACCCTTTTGGCTGGGGAGCTATAAGTGGCCATATTAGGGCAGAAATCCAGAGTCTGGGCAATGGGGGCAAAAAGGGGCCCGCACGCGCACAGAGTACAGCGCGTGACAGTGAGGAGAGTGTGGAGCCTTCCTTTCACTTGTACCTGCTTGGACACCCCCTCCCCTCCCCTCCTCTTTTCCCTCCCCCCCTGCCTCGCCTGGGCAACTCTCTAAATGCATCCTCGGGGAACTCTCTCTCTCTCTCCCCCTCTCCCTCTCTGACTCACACAAACACACGCACGCGCTCACAGACACACACACGCGGGGCGCTCATAAAGGAGGATCCCAGCAGAGGAGCGGGGAGTGAACGACGGAGTGCGCACCAGACCGGCTCGTCCACTTGTCCGCTGTCTATATCAACCTCCTCATTCCCGAGTTGCTTCAGCAGAAACGGACATACCGGGGTTGGAGAGACCCCCCTGGCACCCCAGACAGCCTCAGACTGGTCGTCATCGTCTGTTTTACTCCGGAGACTGCGGATTTTATCCTTGATACTGAGAGTGCGCAGCGTTTACCCGAGATTAACAAAGTGTAAGGACAGTAAATCTGCTCTTTTTAGGTGTAATAGCTGGGAAATCAAATCTGCAGTCCGTGTTTCGGGCCGGCTGTCTTCTGCGTCCCCTCTTCGGTTTGACTGCGCCGACCAGACTTGGAAATAGCAACAGCCTGAACCGGCATCAGTAAGGTAAGAGATGCTAATGTCTCGTTTAGAGCAATTTGCAGACAATTTACAGTGATCAGTGCTGTGCCAACACAGTGAGGGTAACTGACATCTTATTTAGCCTCCAGGCCGATCTGTTGCAATTAATGCCTTTGCAGACATCAATGAAAGATGAGCATCAAAGGTGCAAATAATGGATTTGTAGATGTGTTTCATTTCAGGCAACTAATCAGACCAATATTCAGATTATTCTGGTATTTTATGAAGAGTTATTCTGGGTGTTCTTCTTAAAGTGCAACAACATGGGTGGACCATTTCACACTTTGTACTGTCCGCCTACAGCTCCCAAGACTCTCTCTCTCTCTCTCTTTCTCTCACGCACACACACTGACACACACACACACACAACTCAGCACTAGACAATATGGATCCTACGAATATTATATAAAACTTCAACAGTAAATCTCATGTCCTCCTCCTCATCCCTCTCTCTCTCTCTGGTCTCATGACCCTCTTTTAAGGATAGAAGATGTCTTGTAGGCCTACCTGTGACACTGACAAGTTTAGACCCATACAAACACCAGGAACTTTTATATTCTCAAGTGAACTTTATCTGTAATAGGTCTGCTCTTCGAAGCTCCAAACAGGTAGGAGTCTCATGCAGATGATTATGGGACAGCAGGACACTTGGACATGTAAAGCATCCCTCAGTTGAAGGCACCCTCATGTAAAAAGGCAGAAAAACAAGATAACTGCTGCATCAATTGGAGCTTGTGTCTTCTTGACATCAGTGTCCAAAGTCATTTTGTATATCTAAAGTTGTTTTGTAAATTGTCTTATGAAGGTGTGATCAGTTTTATACCTCTTCTGCAGTCAATTTGCATTGAGGCCATTTTGCATGATATCAGATTTGTGTTCTTCATTCGTCTCTGTGTTGGTTTTAAATCCTTTTTCATTTGTTTAAGCGCCTATGTGAGATGTTTTGTGGCTTTTTTGTGACTTTTGGGTTAGTGTGAGTCATTTATTGTGTCTTTAGATCAATCTGTGTTGTTTGAGAAACATTTTGGGGTTTATTTCCATTTCAAGTGGCTTTGTATTTACATTTTTAAGTGTAATAACTTTTACCCTTTTGTAGTTTAGCTTTCTAATATTGTGTAGATTTTTTTTTTTTGTATTTGCTTATTTCTCTGCTCAAGATTTTCCAAGAAAACATAACACAAAGAAAATGATTAGTGATACTAAAAAAAACTTTTTTTCCACCTTCCCTCCTATGACATCTCCTTTGGGTGTCAGTCTCCTTTTAACCCTGGTGGTGCTCAGACACAGTTTGGATAAAACACACCACCAAAAGTGGAGGTCTCTGATTGGGCGACTTACAATGAGGGAACAGTTGGCCGGATATTCAACACTGACACTGGAAAAACATCCAGTACAGTTCAGGCCAGTATTGATCCGATCTGATCGACTGGACATCTCCATGTAGACGCGGCTGTGCTGGTGTGATATCAGCTGGAATGGTCCCAGTTGCTTCAGAGGTCATTGTAGTGCAGGGCAGACCAGCTGGTTGTAAAAAGCTCAAACATCATCTGTTAGCATCTGGCATTTCTTATCTTCAGCAGCATCATCTCCTTAGTTTTACAGCAGGGAGCCTCTTCTTTCTGTCTTAGCCTCCCCTCTCAGTTGGTCAGAGCAGCTCTGCCTGTTCCTTTCTATTTTTAGTCTCTATTTACAATGCAGTAGCTACAGAGGCAAGAAGAGTCTCACTCTGTTTCCCTTCATCTGTCTCTCTTTTCTCATATCTCTGCTTCTTTGCCGTTTTTCTTCTTTTACCGTTTCAATCGCTCGGATTTTATTTACTCTCTCTTTCCCCCTTGGTTCTCTCCTTCCAGCTGCTCTCTCTCTCTCCGAGTTGTTCAGCATATTAACATATTAAGCCCTGGTTGCAGCCCACCTCAAACTGCCACCTGCTCTGCAAACACATGTACACATACAGTACATTACGCTGTGTGAGGCTAGGAAGACAGCAGAGGAGACGGGGGTAGAGGTTAATCTCTGGATGCTTTTGACCCAAATCACCATACGACCTACATACCCTCCCCTAAAACAACCACCCCACAGTCCCCACCCATGCATATCTCTAAAAAGCAGCACTCACACCCAAATACACAGCTGCCTTTTGAATGCTGAGCAACGTGAGTGCACACCTAAATTCCAGAGGCTTGGTGCGTTATTAATTACCTGTGACAAAACGCTCTGGAGCCACTAATGATGGCCTAAATTTCCTTCATGTGGAGAAGTAGGGAAATATTTAAGAATCTTTTAATAAAGCAAATGTAATTAACTTGGTCTTCAGCTAACGCCTCATACCTGAGCGATATCTCAGCAATTCCTTCATGGCAAAGTGTCCCAGTTTAGACTTACAGCTGCAAATCTGCTGCAACAACATACCCTGAACCATTGCTGCTCTGAGCTAACACTGCCAGAAAGGTGGTCTTAAATTTCCAATAGGTGAACTTTGACTTCCATAAATGAAAGAAAGACTGTCACAATTTGTCTTCAGCTTTACATATCATATTCCTCATTGGGACCCCTTGAGACTTAGCTGGATCTCAGACTGGTGTCGTGTTGTTCCTTGTTGTTGGTTTGATAACGGTCAGGTCTACTTTTGCAAGCTTGATTCACGTCCTTAAAAAGAATCATAATCACTTTGGCAATTGAAGCTGCATTTAAGAATACGAATAATAGGAACTCTATTGATCCCCGAAGGGAAATTCAATTGTCTGTTGTCTCACTTGCCATGTCTCTAAAAGTTATCTACTATTTACACAAGAGTTATAAAGTCTAACGGCTGTTGGTACAAAAGATCCTCTGAATCTTTCTGTCCTGCAGCGAAGAGAGAGGAGCCGTCCACCACCATTGGCCCTTTGGTCCATCGAGGTGTTGTGAAGTGGGTGATCCATGTTCTTTCGAATAGTCTCCACCTTCCTCAGTGTAGATCTCTCCACCACATCCTCCACTGAGTCCAGCTTGAGTCCAACCACAGAGCCAGCCTTGTTCACAAGTTTGTTCAGACGTCTTGCATCTTTGTGTTTGATGCTTCCTCCCCAGCAGACTGCAGCGTAGAACAGAACACTTGTCACCACAGACTGATAAAACATCTGCAGCGTCTTACTACAGATGTCTGTTGATCGGAGATTTGGCATTGCAGATCTGCACTTGGCTCTTTTCATCCAGATGAGGCTTTAAACTCTGAATTAAAACAGTCATATCTTACTGTTGGTTGTCACAATTAATATTCCAACATGGACTCTACAGCTGCTGACACGATCATGACCAGCTTAGCAACCGGTGTTTTGGTTTCAAGTCTGACCTTGTGAAATGTGTCAGCGGTAGTTTTTGTGGTTACAACAGCTGATAACACTCAGTTCTCAGGATTGTTCCCAAATTGAGGTTGTTATGATCTCGAAACATACTCACCAGATATCTCTTCAATGAAAAACTAAGGGAGGTTTCAACTACAAGCTGTTGAGCGTATTGATTGTGTCGCTGCTGGTAGTCCGTCCATCTCCAGGAATGGGTTTCTACGACCCATTCATTCCAACTCTTCCCAGTTGTTGTCTGTCCCCTTCTCCAGTTCAAGAAAATCATGACCTGGATGAATGAGAATCTACATGGACACGTCGCTGCTCGTTAATAAAAGAGTTGTTTTCAAGTCCAAGTTATGGGTGAATTACAAGATTAGGACTTGAAATGTAGAGGTGATTCATGAGCGATAGTTGGAATCAAAGGTTAATGTCGGCAAAATCAATGTTTGCATCGAGTCCGTGCATCCTGGCAGGAACTAAAGTGGAAGTTTGTCATGCCACTTTGAGCTAAAGTATGCAGTAAAGATAATGTCACCCCAACCTGAATATAACTGACTCTGATGGTGAAAACTGTTCTACTTGAATTCATCGTGAACAAGATCTTTACATGAATGAAAGGAACAAAAGTGGACCAGAGAGAAATTACTCTGGAGGAAACGTTTTTTTTTCATCCTCCATGCATAGTCACAGTAGGTTCTCCGAAAACCTGCTGTGAGTTTGAGAGTTTCTCCTGACGGCAGATGGTAAAGTGCCTGTGGGAAAAAGACACCCAGTAAGTTCTATCCCCCAAAAGTTGAGCACCTTTTGCGAAGCAGATGTCTGTTTTCCTCAGCAGGCATGGTTTAAAAGACGGTGGTCACAATGAATCTGTCGTTATACTGATGCTTTGTAAGCAAATTAAATGTTACCTCTGGTTTAAGTAGTTTCTCATTATGAATAGTTTTACAAGCAACCGCTTTAATGGGACATAACCAACTCCTGGCCAGGCGACAAAGAGAGAAGAGATTGTTAATGTGTAGATGAAAAGATTAACCGTCTTAAATAGGTGAGAACGGATAGGGAGCACTTAGTGAGAAGGCATCTGTGGAAGACAGCAGGAGACGGATAAAAAACAGATACCAGACAGCAATGAAATAAAGGAAGTGAGAGTGCTGCAGAGGGGCAACCTGCTGCAACTAATCATTTGATTTAAACCTCAAATAGCAGGGCACAGGTATAGCTTCCCATCACTGAGGTTTTTTAAAATGGCTCTTCATGTCGAGTCTGAAAGAGTTTGTTTAGCTGCCGGATGAGATGCAGCGAATAAAGACACATACATGGATGAGCATTTAGTGAACAACAGGGATAGTAATTTGAGAAAGAGAGGGAGACAGAACAATGGAAATGATAGAGAGAGAAGCAAATACTAGACATTGTCAGGTAGATAGAGGAGTGAAAGCAAAACAGGAAGGGCGGCATTGTTTGAAACATCACATTGATTAAGCCTGCTATTTTTAGTGGAGTATTTTTATCACAGTAGTTTAATCACAGATTGGAAAAATCGTTCATAGACGCGCTTTACTTTCGCAGGAAGATGACTGAAATGAAGACTGTGTGAAATACTGCATTGATTTGGACTTGGAGTGAGGGAGCAGAAAGCCTGCAGGGCAATGACATCATTCGAGGATCTAAATGCCAAAAAAAAAAGTGTTGCAGATCCATCTCTCAAAACGCGTTTTAAGTTTTAAAAGATTTGGCCCTCGAGAAAGGAAAAAGCAATCTTCTCATTTCTAACTGGCGAGGTATAGTTTTGCAGAATTTAATGACACAAAAGCACTTTAATGAGGTCATATGGACACACTTGTTTTTGAATAAGGGGAGAAAGACTTTGGCTCAAACTGAGATTTTTGAATATAAAGTGTTTTCCCTTGTCTTGACCCATTCACACCACTTTAACACACACACTGATGGCTGAGACTTAAAGGTGAGGTAGGCAGGATCTGAGGAAGTGCTAGTTTTTGGTAGAAATCTTGAATGTAAACTCTACCCCTTCCAACCAGTTTTCCCCTCAGCTCCTCCTCTCCCCTTTGTCTCTGCTCCAGCAAGCCCCGCCCACAAACAGACCCTCCTGCCCGATGTGCTTTCTGGTTGGTTTCTACTCTCCGATATTGTAGCACGCTAACTTTGTTTGGGCTCCTGAACGACACGGGGGAGCAGCGTCTGCCTCACAGCCAATCAGGTTAAGGGAGGCGGAGAATGGGCTTTGTTTACAGTCAGAAAGAGCGCAGGGCTCTGAAATTTTAAAATGTCGACAACACAGACATAACAAAACACAGCGATATCGTTATATTACCAAATGTCATCAATGACTAATAGCTATTGACTGATATTAAAAGCTTTTTTGTATATATGCCACAAAAAAGATGCTTCTGTAAGAATCCTGCCTACCCCACCTTTAAATATGAGACTTAACTGCCTTTTAAGATTTGTCTGTGGTGCATGAGGGGCTGCATTATCCACCTTAAACAGGTGGAGCTTTAGATCCTGTTGAGTTTCGCCCAATCATTGGCTGTCATCCAAGTTTTGTTGGTCAACTTGTTGTGCATGCAGATTTTTTGATGTGACTGTGCACACACTGTCTCAAACAGTGCAGAGTGTGGGCGCGATGCCTAATAAGCCCAGCCGGTGAGTTGTGTTGTTGACCAGTCTTTGAGGTGAGCTTGTCTGATAATGTGGGAGTCTCTGTATCCTGTGATTAGATATGAAGCGAGTGCTGGAAGGGTAAAAAAGTAACCCCACTGAAACATGAGTGAGGCATCTCAGATCATCAGACTATGTAGTTCATCAGACTGTTTTTGGAGCATTTCTGGCAAGTGTATCTGCAATTTCTAGTTTGATTTTCTTCCCTTCAAAAAGCCTGTTGACCCTCAGACTTGCTGCATTGTCTTTTTGAGAGGTAGTATGAAAGAGCCTGAGGCGAAAAATGTGGAAAGAAAGGGCAAGAATTAGTCGAGGAAAAATAAGGAAAGAAAATTTATACAGAGAAAAAGTGAGGAGAAGAGAGTGTAAGAAACTGATATACAGATGGAGACATCTGACAAATAGAAAAGATAGTGGGAAGGATGGAAACAGGAGGGGGTGAAAACAAGGAAGGAGATTGTGATAGAGTTGGAAAGAAGAAAGCATTCAATCCTCCTGTTGTCTCTGGAGGATGCCGCTGAAACCCGATCTCAGCCAGGTACTGGCCATCACTCTACTGCTCTCTCTCTCTGTCTGTCTGTCTAATATTGGTAAGACACACACTTTGTCATGTAATATTGCACCTGGTTTTCCTCAAACTCACAAAGGGAGCCGCATCATGTACTCAAACCTCACAACCTCATTGTAGGTAGAGTAAATCACTGTCTGTCTGTCCCTTTTTAAAGCAACAAACACTTATTTTTGTGTGTGTGTGTGTGTGTGTGTGTCTGGTCTTGAGCTATGGCTATAACTTTATTTCTCATGCTGTTGGATGTTCAGAGATAGGATGGATTTTATTAGGAGGAAAATAAACTTTCTACATGTTTTAATCCTAAGTGTATCCTCTGAATGTGTATATGACTTCGCTGTTTTAACCATTTGACTTCTGAGACAGAGTTAAGGTCCTTACACACCGGGAACAGCGCAAATATACAACGCCAAATTACGAATAGCATTCTGTTCTCCGACACGTAAACAATCAGCTGGACGGCCATGTCGGATATACCGGTGAATCTGACGTTGCAACAACACAAAATCTGATTGGTCAGAAGTGGACACACAGTATGCCAAACTTTAGAAAATTCGACCGTGTTACGAAAAAATAAATGCAGCAAAACGTCACTAATGTGAACGCTTGTATTGACAGGATATGGGTTTGAAAAAAAATATTGATATCCGAAATAATTGCACAAAAAAAAATGGTCCCGGTGTGCAAGGACCTTTAAAGTTAATAGGGCTGGGACGATATGCTTTTCTCCTGATTCGATTCTTCTATGATTTTTTGGGTGCCGATTCAATTTAAGTTGCGATTCTGTTATTGTTAATTTTCCCGATTTTTAGTCTGATTTTTTAACCCCAGTGAAACAGTTGAATGATTATGATTGTCTACTGACTATTTCCCCAAAAAATACACATCACATGTAGGTCAGTTTTCAAGATTTATTCTCAAATTTGTAAATAAAAATCAATTTTTGAACAAAAAAAAACCCATTCAAAAATTGCAAAACAAAAAATTACGATACTTATACGAATCAATTTTTTTCTCCCACCCCTAATAGTTAAACCCTCTTTTTTTCTTTATTCCCTCCCTTTCCTTGACCATTACATACATAAAATTAAACTAACATCTGATGTAATGTTTTGGTTTATGTTCTTAATTTACATCTCGGCTATCTTGTTAAAAAGGTGATGAATCCGGTGCTGCTATTTCCTGCCTCACAATGCCCCCACACTCACTAAACTGCCATGAAGGACAATTGCGTAATATCCAGTGTCATTTAATGCGCTTTAAAAAATACTATTGTTGTCTCTGATTGAAGCATCTCAGTGAGATCAATTTTTAGTGCAGGCGAGACAAGCACTCTGCTCTTCTGAATCCTTGAGTGACTCACACAGGCACGCACACACACACAAGTGGACACACACCAGGGGAGAGTGTAGTGTTGAGTGGGTATGGTGGACACATGCATGGGTGGGGAGTGAGAATGAGAGAGAGGAGACAAAGAGAGGGTGAAACAGAGAGGAGGAATAAAGGTGATATCGCTCAGTGTAGATGGTCAATAACTGGCATTTTGCACCCTGTTGGCTGCATTATCTCAGGTTCAAAACTCAAGTCCCATTGTTTAAATCCTGTGAAAAGTTCTCACTCGTGTCATGAAATGAACTGAACATAAATGCAAAAGTAATCCAAATGGGTATTTTTATTCAAGGTGTAAAAGTTCTTCTGAAGTGAAAAAAGGACACAAAAGAAAGCAACTGAAAATATCCCGTGGTGTTGAGAGGGTCTCTCAGTTTTGGCAGCACTTGTTTGTACTCTGCGAATTTAACGGCCTCTTTTCACCCTTACTGTAGGTGGAATCACTAAGCTGCTGCAGGGCACAGTTGTACTATATTGAGTGTGTCTGCCCACTATTTTGTACCGTTTTGGACTGTTTAAAAATAACCCTGGCCTGCTCATTGTGTGCAGGTAGAAAAGCCCTACACCAAGCTGCAGCCATGGATGAAATGGACCTGCCCCAGATGAAGAAGGAGGTGGAGAGCCTCAAGTACCAGCTGGCCTTCAAACGAGAAAAGTCCTCCAAAACAGTCACTGAGTGAGTAGTTAGTGTGCAAAAGTGCCTGCAACAGTAGCTCTGGGAACAAAAGTGCTTCTGTCCAATAAAATGAAGTTTTACTTTGCAACTAAATTTGCTTAACACAGCAAACTGCCCCGCTCACAAGAGACCAAAAGCATCTTGCTGTTTGGTCTTTGTAAGTCTGGACCTGCAGGTTTTGTTAAGTGTGGACTATAGACTGTATATAGAATGGACGTCGTCTGCCTCCTCACTGGGTGAAGCCACCCTGAGAACAGCACCCTCTGGTGACAGGCTGCAGTATAGGTCATAAATCCCGCCTCCTGCAGCAATCCCTATGGGGCTGTGGACAAACTTTAGAAACTTATTACACAGAACATAAATTTTTCTCCCCCCTGCTTGCGATGTTGACGTAGTTACTGTAAGACTGGTTTGTGCTCAAGTCCTCTTTTTTCTGTACAGCTCTGTTTTCAAAAGTTATTAGGGGGTTTATGTTTTCTATGAATGGCACTTGATACAGCCTATGGGCGTACGAAGATTGCTTAGCTCACCGGGGGATATGCTGTCATCACAGCGACTCTCTGGGACTCTCTGAATGCGTACAGCGATACTTTGCAAGTGGTGAAGTGCGTACAAAGTTACTGCGCAATTTTGGCTTCAGGAAATGAAGAAAAATTGCGGAAATACCGAGAGCTTTTTGGCTTCAAATCTGTATACTGGCAGAAGGCAGAATGAAGTTGTCCATAGTATATACCGTCTATGGTGTGGACTCAAAAAAATGCCCTCAGTTTTTTTTAAAGGTCGTCAGGAGCAGCGCAAATTTCAATTCCTGCTCCATGACTACTAAGCAAACTATAGCTGCAAAAATATGCAGAGTGATCCAAATATTTGGTGATTTATTCAAATATACGCCGAAATAATTGGCACTGCTTCAAGGAGGGAAAACACAACTGTTTCTGTACTCAGTCAAATTGACCTGTACAGCTCAGTGATTACAATCAGGGATGGGTTTTACTAACTATCGTTATCATTAAAGCAGTAGTCACAAATACAGCTTCAGCCGTTCTGTTCCTTCTCTCTTTATCCGGCTCACGCTCTCTCTCTGCGGTGTCAGTGGATGAAGAGCAAATCAGACAAACGCAGAAGAATCACTTGTGAAGCTTCATCAGCCTGGTGGATTTGAAGGACTGTTTTTGAGGGGTGCTGTTTTTGATGTAGAGCTCTAACGCACTCAGAGCCGGTGTTTGGAAACCCTGTGTCAAACTTTCATTGAAATGGAAAGACAATTAAGTAGGTAGGACAAACAGTGATGAGAGAGTGAACACAGGTGAACTGCTGCTGTACGGATTATGAGCACAGTTTAAAGAGGAACTTCACACATTTTTTCAAGTATGATTTATGTTTTTTTTTTTTTAAAACCTCAATTTTTTGGAGATTTTGTTTGTGTCACTCCTACTTGTCATGCACCACAAGTACTTTGCAAAGTTAGCAAACATTGCAAAACAAAACAAGATGCTGAGAATCAGGCTTGGGAAAGATACACAAGAATAGTTTCTCCAAATTTGCTTTATTTTTAATTCAACATGTATTCTATTTAACTGACTAATTAATATTTCCCTTTTTTTTGTATGTGTTTCCTCGAAAAAGTAGTGAAAACATTATTCTCCCCCTCAGCTTCTACTAGAGGTGGGAGAAAAAATCAATACAGCATAGAATCACGATATTTTGTCTGGTGATATATCGTATCGTCTCATTTACCAAGTGTCGAATTTTCAAATAAATTGTTAATATGAAGTCAAATCTGTGATAATGGAAAAATAAAATCAACTGTTTGTCTAGTGAGGTTGGCAGAGGTGACATCATAGAGCAGGACAAAGTTCGTACAACATGTATAGGTAAGGTGTGCAAGATGTGCTTCATGAAAGTAAAATACTGTGTAAATAAGACAAACATAAAGGAAAGACAAATGCTAAATTAGCAAAACAGTTGAAAAAATGTAGAAATTACGATATATTGTATTTCAATACTCACTGTATTGCAAAATGTTAAAAATCGCAATAACATCGTATCGTCGCCCAAGTATCGTGATAATATCGTATCGTGGGGCCACTAGTGATTCCCACCTCTAACTTCCACCATGGAACAATGGTACGACAAACATAAGTAAGCTAACAAATGACCTTACACCTCAAAAAAGAGTTTATTGATCTTAATGTTGCAATGAGAAGTTTTATTTCATACCTGTGCTCATATTACTTAAATGAGACTAAAAGAAAACAGCTGTAAAACTATGATTTCATTAATAAGAAGTAGTGCTATTGTACAGAATAACAGCATTGGGTAACACTTTACAACAACCATAATTTATAAATGCTAAATATATTGTTTATTAATGTTTAATCATCATTTAAAAACAGCATATAGATCAATTATAAATGGCAAATAGATAGTTTATTAATGCAAGTTAATAGTTACTTTACCATTAACAAGCTATAAAATTATGATAAATAATTTTCATTAATTATTAATGGACTATTTATTAAAGGTTTATATAGGGTTTAAATATTGGTTGTAAAACATCTAGATTAAAATGTGTCAGTAGCACTTTGTAAATGGTTAATATTTGGTTTTTAAACCATCTATAAACATTACTTAGATGGTTATTGTAAAGTTGCAACTGATGTTTGTCATACTTTGTATGTCTCATACTTTGTAAATGATTAATAAATGGTTTATAACCCCCCTATAAACATTACTTAGATGGTTATTGTAAAGTTAAGATTAGGGTCACGGTTAGGGTTAGGTTTTTAAAATTGTAAAATTTACAATTTATTAATGGTCTATATGCTATTTATAAATGATGATTAAACATTAATAAACTATCTGGTTTCTATTTATAAATGGTCTGTTTACCATTTATAAGTTAAGGTTATTGTGACGTGTGACCCAGCATTGTTGCAGCAGAAGGCTGCTGTGCTCGTCCCCAGAACAACAGCACTCTCTTTTCTGTCTTAATCCATCTGTGAATGAAGTATTAATTCCAGCAGAGCTGCAGTCACAGAGGCCAAAGCGCTTTGGTGAATTATGGCTCGTGGTTGCTCGGATTCTCTTTCTTGCCTTTTATGGAAGAAAGGATAGAGGATAGATTGTGGGTAAAACACATTCTCTGGAATTTGAACAATGTCTCTGACCCTCTGTGTCTCTCCATAAAGCTTGGTGAAGTGGATAGAGGACGGCGTCCCAGAGGATCCCTTCCTGAACCCGGAGTTGATGAAGAACAACCCATGGGTAGAGAAGGGAAAATGCATCCTCCTCTAGAAAGAAACCAACGGCCCTGCCAAGACCCTTCATCTTTGACCGCCCTGACCGACGCATACCTACAGCCCCCGCTCCCCCCCAAACCCCCACGGCCGGACAGCGCCTGTTAACTTCTCACACTGAATGTACAATAAATGAAAACCCCCAAATTTCCCGAACACACATCCCAACAAGGGCACTAAAACAAAGAATCACACTCACACACTTTGATTCAAAACTTTTGGGATTTTACCCGACTGCCACACATTCACTGCAAGTTTATTCCTGCCACAGCAATGCGTCATTACTATGATATATGACAATGATGATCAATACTCTTATTACCTTTCTCTATATGGATATGTGATAACTTATTTATGCAGCTGCTAGCCATACGCTTTCTTTCCTCTTTTTCAATCTCTTATCTTGACTGTAAAGCTTTCAATTCTTTCTTTTTCCACTTTTGATGAGTTATGGTAAACTGTTGAGTCACATGCACGCTGACTGTAGGTCTGCTAGGACACCCAAACCACCATCATAAGGGCAGAAGTAGTTAGTGTGTTTTCTGAATACATAAACTCTTGTACGATGGAAAAAATCCTGATGATTTGAAAGTGTTGGTATGATTGAAACTAATCAGCTGCTACACAATCTTGCCTGATACTGTCGGAAAACTTTTATAAGTTCTCCTGGATGTTCCTGACTTAAACATTCGCACTGTTTGCAGGTGGAAAAATCTGTTTGCAAACTCCCTGCGGTGACTCCTACAGTTTACAGACTTGCATTTGATTTCACACGACTCGTATAGCATGGTAGTTACATTTACATTCTTAAGATGAGATCTGCAACCAGTGTTGTTTTGCTTTAGTGTCTTCTGGTCAGAAAGTGTCATAGCGGCTCTGTTTGTGTTGTCAGAGCAGAGTAGAGCAATGGGTCTCCTGGGGGGAATGGTTTTTTTGCTCCCTTAGCTACAGCCCCTGAGGATGACACACAAACACACAACCAAACCCCCACACAACAGTCCATAACAGGCGCATCATCGCTCTCCACATATGTACAGACAGACCCCTTTAACTTATTAACTTCTTGGTCGGTACTTACAGTAGTTCGTTTATTTATTTATTTAATATTTATTTATTTATTGATAGAACCTTTCCTCCACCTTAGCTTTTGTTTAGCATGTCCGCAACCCTCTTTCTCATACCTTACATTAAAAAAAAGGAAAACAGAAAAATGACCAAAAATCGATAACACCTCGCCAGAACATCATCTACTACTGCCTTCTACACAGTTTCCTTAAACAGAGAATGTAAATATGTGGCATGATCACAGATGACCTCAGAAACAGCCTGCGTGTGTGTGCATGTAATCATCTGTTCATGTGTGCGTAGGGTGTTTTTTTTATTTTTGAATGGTAGGCTCTCTTGCAGATTGCGAAGCACACACATGCAGCTATGTAACACACACAGGCAGGATTGAGGCTGCGCAAAATCAACCGAACGCACACATACGCACACTGCTTAGTGGGAATGTGTATGAGGGGAGGAGTGGCTAGGATGTGGGATTCTCTAAATGACTTGGGACAGGGGAGCCTCACATCATCTCAGTACTGTAATGAGTCTCATTTTATACATTTTCCTCAAGATGACCCATTTCCCTAAAGGCTACTCAGCGCTTGAATGATGTAAGTCTTTTAATATGTAACTCGACTATAATTATTTCATGATTTACTAATAAATTTTTGTTTCTATCAAACGTGCTTGAACATCTATCTTAACACTGCGTTCCTTAAAACATCCATCCGATCACACTGACATGGTTGGGATTCATGAAATCACTGCAAATGTAAAATGGTATTTCTGCACCTGATGTGTGGCCGAAAAACTTAGGATGTCAAGCATATATGCAACATAATGACTCCAAAGAGAGTCCCTCTTAAAGTCCCATGGTTCATTGTGAGACATAATGTCCACTATCTTGGACATTATGTTGAACTCTATGTTATAAGTCCAGGTATTGGAAAGTGAGATTAACTGTTTAAAAGCATTAATGTCATTACACGGGGGACTTTTAAAATGGCTTCAATGGTACAAAGAACTGTTTTCTGAGTCTCAGGTATGTTGCTTTTCCAGTTTATTTCCTCTTCCAACATGATTTTACAATTCAAGTGTTTCAGACTTTTTTTTTTTTTTTTGCTTGTGGTAAACTGATGGAAAAACAACAAATGCTGCCAGCTGCAGTCTCACGGGCCACAGTGAGAGGAAACTGTACATGAGAGGATTCCTGAGTCTGCCTGTCCCTTGTCTGTTTTCTGTTCTGCAACTTTACTCACTTGTTTGTTTTGTTTACTATAATCTGAACGTACGTACGTATGTGTGTTAATAACTATAATGACAGCTTAAAATCTTGTCTAAATATCTAGCAACATATTCCTCGTGAGAGTGCTTTGGAAAAATTATTATGCATCAGATCAAGTCTTAGTGTAAAGAAGACAATGAGCAATAAATGAAACATCATTTTTTATTGAATGTTTTACAAAAACATGTATCTTATTGAATAAAGTAGAAGATTTTTAGACAACTGGGCGTCCTGATTGGTTTCTGTGTTATTTATGCACACCTGTAAAAGTACAAATCTATAACACATTCAATTCAGTATAGTCTGTATAGTGAATGGAAACAGCATTTTCAAGGGCTGACAGTCGAATTAAATGCCAAAAAATATATATCCAAGTCGCTTTTCCAAGAAAGTTACTAATGCTGCGTTCAAGTTACCTCGGAAGTCAGATGTCAGAACTAAAAATGCCGTCACACCCGAGTTACCAGCGTTTCAGTTACCATGTCAGAAAAAAAAGCAAAATCGGAGGCGGAAACAAGATGGCTACACCTACGAAAGTTGAAACTAATTCAGTGCTTGCCTTGTACTTGTTATATTCAGACAAGGCAAGCGCTAAAATAACTTTCGTAGATGTAGCCATCTTGTTTCTGCCTCCGATTTTGCTTTTTTTCTGACGTGGTAACTGAAACGCTAGTAGAACTGTGTTGTCTATATCATTGTTATTATTATTGCTGCTGCTATTGTTATTATTATTATTGTTATTTATTATTACTATTATGAATGATGATGATAGTGATGGTATTAAAAATATATTCTTATTGCTATCATTATTATTATAACTGTCACTCAGTCTGCTCTTCTTCTTCATCGTCTGTTTGTTCTCTTCTTTTGTTTTGTTTTTTCCTCTGTGTTGTTGTAAAGCACTATGGATCAACTCTGTTGTGTGTAAAGTGCTATATAATTGAAGTTGAGTTGAGTTGAGAGTTGAGTTGAGCTGGTAACTCAAGTGTGAAGCCATTTTTAGGTCTGACATCTGACTTCCGAGGTATATTAAAACGCAGCATGAGTGATTTAATCTAAAGTTGCTAGATTGGTAACCATGGCAGCCCAATGGAACATGTTAGCAATACTGCTAAATGTTAATAAAGCTGCGTTCAAGTTACCTCAGAAGTCAGATGTCCGAGCTGGGAATGACGTCACACCTGAGTTACCAGCGTTTCAGTTTCAGTCAAGTCGGAAAAAAGCAAAATGGGAGGCGGGAACAAGATGGCTACATCTACAAAAGTTATTTTAGTGCTTGTTATTTTAGTTATTTTAAGTTATTTTAGCATCCCCATTCGTAAATGTAGCCATCTTGTTTCAGCCTCCAATTTTGCTTTTTTCCGACTTGGTAACTGAAACGCTGGTAACTCAGGTGTGACGTCATTCCCAGCTCGGACATCTGATTTCCGAGGTAACTCGAACGCAGCAGGCTTTCAATTCCAACTTCTTAGCATCTCCTTTCTTTTATTTCTTTCTCGTATTGTTTCTGGTAAGAAGGGTTTCAGTTCGCTTGAGGCTTTGGCTCCAAAGAAATCCAAGCTTTGACTCCTCTGCTGTCTGCTCCCCACATTTCCTGTCTCTTCTCAGCCGTCCACTCTTATCAGAACCAACTGCCCCCCCAAATAATTCACAATAAGGTTTACATTTTCCTTATCCGTCCCTCAGGGGTGTGTATGCAAAACGTATTCTGAAAGTTTTGATGTGCAAAATTATGAGCAAGAGGACTGTAGAGACGTTATAAGAGGCTGAAAAAGGTTCAGACAGAGGGGGCAGATGGTCCCATAGATGGCTACACTCAGGGGGATGACGAAAAGCTGCAATCTCTTCTCCTCCTTCCCCTCCACTGCTTCTTGTAACTCATGAATAATAGAAAACAGTAGACATGGAGGGCTCTCACTTCACTCTGTCACTGCCTCTTGGACTCCCTCTTTCCCCCTGACTCTCTTTTCCTCATCCACTCCCTCCTACATTTCTTCCAAATTTATAACCAAAGCGTGCTGCTAGGAAAATTCAAATAACACTGATCACTGCATACAATCATAAAGTATGTATTTATTCAATGACCAACTTTAACCATCTCCTCTTTTGTGCAGAGACTGTTGTGAAGCGATCAATCTATCTATCCTTTGAGATTTAGCTTTATATTTATTGTAATTTTTACACGTAAACACTCGCACATCTAGGTTAAATTGTTTGTTGGGTACATACCAGAAATAAATAATGAGGAGAGATTGGTGAGACGGCTGACTCTTGCTCTGTGTGTGTCTGTTTTTTATGGGTCATCTCCCCTCAATCCCATCGACACACACATGCACTCACTAATGCACTCAATCCCCCTCACCCTTGATGCCAAATCCTCACCCCCATTGTCCCTTTCCCCCCTGAAATCCTCAAATGATCAGCTTTCCTCGACACACACACACTGACACACACACACTCCTCACTGTGTTTCTTCAGTGTGTCTGCAGTCGGGCTAATGCATCAGTTAATAGCTCTCCAACCCCCCTGTCCACTCTCAGATTACCCTCAGCATTCACAAATATGGATACCAGCGCATCACACATGCATTTGTACATTAATGCGCAGATTTCAACACACCTCCGGAAATGTGCTCATGTAACTACAGTACATTTGCCATATACACACACACAGATGCACATACATAAACACAAAACAAGCACTAATGGCCTGTTGGTACTCCACATACATTGACGAGCGGATTAGGATTAACAAACCACCCCCAACACCAACACACACTCATTGTATATGAGAACCAATCTCTAATGCACACTCTGCTGGTGGTGATAATCTCTCCCTCACTTACTTCCACCACAACACACCCGGCTCCTGACTGCTCTCTGTGCTGCTCAGTCCACCAGATGCCATCTAATCTCAGAGTTTTAATCCACTCTTTAGGGGAACTTTTTCGCTCTCCCCCACTCTCTCATGAATGCGCCTCTGTGGTTTTGAATAGGGGGCAGAAACTGCAGATGTCATTACAGACTGTTTACTTGTTGGTCTCGGAGGTGTAACCCATCCTAAAAGCCTGCGAAGGCTGGTCAACATTAAGACCTCATTTGGGGTTAGAAGACCTAGTTTGTACCGAGAGATCTAAAGGTCATGGTATTTCTGTGGGGGATCATGTAGAGCAGGTGAGTTTGAGAGAGAGTGAGCAATCATCAGCAATCATAGCAACCATCTATTGTGAGTATTTAACTGAAACAATCTGCAAATAATGAGTATCTAGGCATTATTAAACTAAACATTAAACTTAAAAATCTAATTATTTCATGCTTGCCTTTTCTAAGTTAAGTTTTCATTTCAAACTGCTGTAATATAACAAAATGTCTTTACATTTAGTGGAGGGCTTTAGAGGTTGATCCTTCACGTCATAAAGATCGTCATAAACTTGAATTTTGTACACGTAATCAATCTAAACACCTACAAGCTCTAAAGAAGCAAAGGCTGTCACTTGTTATTACACTTTACTCTGCCAGACAGGATGTTAGCAAATAGCACCTGAGCTTTTAAAATAATCCTCTCTGTTTCATTGTTTATTGTTTATTTTATCTTCAGGCAGTTTTGAAGGCAACCTCGTAAATTTACTCAGATCCATTCTCTCTTATGATTCAAATGAAAAAAAAAAAAATCAGCTTTCCTTCCACTTAATTCCCTCAGTTTCAAATGTTTACTGTTTTTCTCTGCCTACAGGAAAAACTAAGTGTGTCTGCAACTGCCTGCCTGGTCTGGTAGATTACCGAGTTGATCCGCTGATGGGAGCAGTGGATTCCGTGGACTTTAGGTTGCCATCAACACTTATTATCACAGCAAGGGTTAATCCACCGGGGCTCCTGAATAGGCATTCACAAACACTCTCTGCTTTACACCAATGGAGCTGTCAAGAAGTGTTTCTAAAATCTGTGCAGGCTCTGGGCGGCACACTGCACGCAGCAGTATTTTACAACTGAAAATTTACTCAGCCCCTAAAAAGAAATATTTCGTGTTTTGTCTTCTTAGATTATTTTTATGTCAGAGTGACCAAAATGATAGGAAGATTTAAATAGGGGTAAAATTAAGTTGGGTCAAACACATCCTTACACTGAGTTAGACACACCCTCCAGAGATGAATGTTGCCAACCGCTTGCTTCTCTAGTTATACCAACTTTAGTACTAACTGTAGATAGCAATACACAGTGGTCTCAGGAACCACACACAAACCTCAACCAAAACGCCACTCTATAGCCACAAATAATGCTCAGAACAGCACCTAACTTCAACAGTACATGTAGGGTCCTAGCCACAGCACTAGCCACCAAACATCTTTTTAGCTTTGCCTCATTTCTTTAGCAAAGAGACTAAACACAACTCACCTACTCTCTTCCAGCAGTCGCTTTTTTGTACGGTGACTTCTGGGCGAGTCCATCGACTGCAGTGGGGTGACGCAGCTCAAGGAAGAACATTTATGATCATTTCTTCCTCCTTTCCTTGAAGTAATAATCATCATATTAATCATTTTGCACTGCAGACGCGGTAGCTCTTAGGATCTGGAAAGGCTTCACTGTGCTCCTGACCAGCAGGCGGATCAGATCCGCAAGCATACAGCGCCCACCGGATCCAATCCGCCGCCGCCGCCATCGGAGGAGAAGCGCTCGCGAGATTACCGATATTTCCCGCGTGTTTCCCGGGAGTCATAGATGAGATCAGCCGATCGTTTTATATAATCGGCGGTGTATATAAACACCCACAACCCTGGCCTCTCCTATTGTCAAGTTTAGAACAGTTCCACGTATTGACTTTCTTTTATTTTGAAAATTAACCGGACAATTTACTCTGTAACTGCATACAACTTACGCTGCTGCTCGTGCTGCGTTGCACTTGATTGGAATGATAAATTCTGTGGAATGACACACATTGATTATCATGATTGGTTCTGGACCCTGTGGGATTTGCCTGCGTCTCGGTCTGATTGGACTTCCATAAAGTAATGATCATATATGTTCTTCCTTGAGCTGCGTCCCCCGCTGCGGTAATGGCCTGCCTAAGACCTCTGCTCAAACAAGCGGCTGCTGGAAGAGAGTAGGTGAGTTGTGTTTTGTCTTTAGTTGGTATAGCTAGAGAAGCAAGTGATCAGCAACATTCAGTCAACGGGGTGTCTAACTTAGTGTTACCGTGTGTTTGACCCCAACTTTATTCTACACCGG